GCTATAGAGGGGAAGTTAGGTATGAAACACCGGTAGTAGCCTGCCAACCCCAAAAAGGCCCGTACCTGCGTCTTGTTTGCGGGGCGTGGGAACTTCTTTACCGCCTCGACCTTCTTGTCCTGGGGCATGATGAGCCCTCTTCCGATCTTGTACCCCAGGTATTTGGCTTCGGTGAGGCCGAGGTGGCACTTCTTGGGGTTGGCCGTCAGGCCAGCCTGCCGGAGCTCCGTCAACACCCTCCGTAGATGCTCCAGGTGAGTCTCCCAGCCCTCAGAGTGTATGACGACATCATCCAGGTAAGCCCCGAGGCTTGGTGGGGCCGGAGCAAGATGTCCATCAACCGCTGGAACGTGGCTGGTGCCCCGTGTAGGCTAAGTCTTTACAGAACCGGAGGGTGTTGTCCGGCTTTGGAACCATCATGATGGGCCTGGCCCACGGGCTACAGGAGGGTTCGATGATTCCTAGTTGGAGCATCTTCTTGACTTTCTCCTCTATAGCCGGCCGGCGAGCTTCCGGTATCCGGTAGGGCCGCTGCTGGACTACGACTCCGGGTGGTGTGTGGACCTCGTGCTCTATGACGGTAGTTCTGCCCGGGGTCTCACTGAACACATCCCGGAACTGACTGACCAGGGCCTCAAGCTCCGTCTTCTGGGTCGCCGACAGCTGCGGTTCCACGTCCACTACCGGGGCCCCGGTATGAGCTAGCGTGGCAAGTTGCTCGGCCCGGGGAACCCACTTCTTGAGCAAGTTGACGTGGTAGATTTGCACCGTCCGTCGGCGGCCCGGTTGCCGCACCCGGTACGTCACCAATCCCATCCATTCCACTACAGTGTAGGGCGCCTGCCAGGTCGCCAGAAACGTGCACGCAGCTGTCGGGACCAGTACCACCACTCGATCGCCTGGCTGGAACTCCCGGGCCTGGGTGGGCCGGTCGTACAGCCATTGCTGGGCGCGCTGGGCGGTCACGAGATGTTCCTTAACCAGCGGCATGACCCGGGTCTATCCTTTCCCTCATCTCCCGCACATGCTCAACGAGGCTACGAAGGGGGGCGGGTTGGTTCTCCCGTGCTTCCCGAGCCACGTCTAGAAGGCCCCTAGGCTGTCTCCCAAACAGCAGTTCGAAGGGGGTGAAGCCTGTGGAAGCCTGTGGTACTTCCCGGACTCCAAAGAGCACGTACGGGATCATGAGGTCCCAGTCACGCCCATCTTCGGCCACAACCCGCTTCAGAAATGGTCCCGGATGCGTTGGACGATGTTGTCGGCTCCTAGGTGTCCCGCCATTGGGTGGCCGTGTGCCAGCTCCATGACCGTCTCCATCTTGGTGGTAGGCACGACCAGGAGGAATTGTCCCCCGGAAGCCTGTCTACCTCATCAATGCGGCGCACTTGATCCCAGCAGTTCCGCAGGTGGTCATCCTCGCTTTGTTCTCTTCCGAACGAGCCCCCGGTCGTGACCTGGGAAAACACATCAAGGTAGACAGATGGTAGATTAGCGGGCTGACACTCACCCTCCCTCTCGCTGTCTGTCACTAGGTATACCGGCCTTGGGCTGGGCAGTCCCCGACGGGGTCGCCGTGGTCCGTTCCGGGCGGTATGGCCTGGCATCCTGGGTCCGAGGAGGAGCTTCTGGAACCCCGGCCAGTCCCGTCCCAGGAGCAGAGGTACGGGGAGATCTGGCACAATGCCCACCTCGATGGCCCAGGTCCCGGGCTCCGCTGAAATCCGCACTGTACGGGCCGGTACATAGCGGGTGTCTCCGTGCACACACGTCAGCAGCAACTGGGATTATGGCTCGGGCCTGGGTTGTACCAGGGACGGTTGCACGAGGGTGACTGAACTGCCGGAGTCCAAGAAGGCCTGTACAAGTTTCCCTTCCAGTTTTACCATCCTGCTGGGGCCCGGGGAAAGTCCGTCCTGGTGCAGGAAACACCCTGCCATCCAGGCCCGGGCCGTCGGGGCCGGGGGTTCCGTGGGCATTGGCTCATCCACAAAGTCGGGGACCGCCGGTCTGCTGCCTGGTCGCGGTGCCCTGCGGGGCGCCAGGCCCGCTCTCTTCCCTGCCTCGTGGGCGTTCGTTGCCGCCGCCAGCTCAACCGCCTCTATCAGGCTGTGGATGTCCTGGGGATTTCGCATACTGACCGGGCGCCTCAGCGGGCGGGGCAGTGGCCGTAGCAGTCGATCGATGAGCACTTTCTCGGCTACCTGGTCCGGGGTCGGAGGTGAGTTACTCGGGCCAGTTGCGCAGCTTGCGCTCTCACTGGCTGCCGTTCATCATAGGTCCATTGATAGAACTGTTGCGCCGCCCCCATGGGCGATAGACCCACCCAGGCTAGGATTTCAGCTTTGAGCTCGTCATACGGTTCATTCCGGGGTGCCCTCAGGGCAAAATAGGCCAGCTGCGCTTCTCCGGTAAGGAAGGGAGCGATGATGCGAGCCCACTCTTCCTGGACCCACCCCTCCCGGGCCGCGATGACCTCAAATGTGTGGAGGTAAGCCTCGATGTCGTCGTTCTCGGTCAAACGGACGAGGTATTGGTGCGCTTTGACCGGCGCTTCCGGGAGGGGCAGGCGCCCTGGGGTGTGGGGTGAAGTGCCGTGGTGCAGATCCCTCTCCCAGGGTGCCTTCGGAGTCTGTGAACAAGGAGAAACAAGCATTAATGTCGCCTGGAGCTCCGGGGTGCCTTCCCTCTAATATCTCTTCTCCTGGCTTTTAAGGCCAGTGGGAACGAGCTCCAGGTGCGCCTCTCATCGCGCACAGGTGTTGTGCGTCGGTGATCAGTGTGGCAGCGGCGTTTCCAGGGCGACGCTAATCTGGACTCGGGATACTCGCCACAATACAGAAAAGCAACCCAGGAGTCTTTGAAGGTAAAAAAGTGGAATATTCTGCAATGGCCAAGTCAATCTCCTGATCTCAACCCGATTGAGCTGCATTTCACTCGCTGAAGACAAAACTAAAGGCAGAAAGAGCCACAAACAAACAACAACTGAAGTCAGCTGCAGTAAAGGCCTGGCAAAGCATCACAAAGGAGCAAACCCAGTCTCTGCTGATGTCCATGAGTCCACACTTAAGGCAGTCATTGCCTGCATAAGATTCTCAACAAAATATTAAAAATTAAAATTATATTTATCTGTCCAATTACATTCGAGCCCCTGAAAATGGGGGGACTATGTATAAAAATGGTTGTAATTCCAAAGCATTTTATGTAATATTTTTGTTCAAACCCTTGAATTAAAACTTAAAATCTGCACTTCAATTTCATCTTTATTGTTTCATTTTAATTCTATTCTGGTGGCATACCGAGTGTCCAAATATATATGGACCTAACTGTATAATGTACATATTTATGTGTAGGTGAGACTGTCAGTCAGCAGGTTTCAACAAACTGTCACTGATTCAAAGATAAAAATTTAGAAATTCTATGTCAAACTTTAGATTACATTTTCTTTTGCGTACCATAGATGAGAATCCTGTGGACACCCCTGCAACAACGTTTATTCATCTCATTTAATATTTTATTCTGTGTGACTAAATTGTTTTACATTTCTGTTCTATGTATTCCACTAGTACTTCTGTAAAATAAGGGGGTTTTGTTCAGAAACATAAAGCAGCATCTCCAGAACCCAGCTGTGTGTCTATGAAGAGTAATGCATCCATGGACCGTCCTAAATTCAGTGATGGAGCAGTGACCTCTGACCCTGAGTGTGTATCAGTGTGATTTCCCTGCTAGAGTGAGGCATTTCTAAGACAATATTTAATTGGTAAATCAAGTCAAGTCTGTTTTATTTGTGAAACATAATCACATAATAAACTTGACTACAAATGGATCATATTATGGCTTTTGAGTCAAAGATTTTTCGGATCAGCAAGAAAGAAAAAATATTGAACAGTGAACAGTCAGTAATAAAATAAGAACAAATTAACAAATTACAAACATCGATAATTAGGGGTCGAAAAATGCACAATCTTTGAGCCTAGGGTGAAATCACTGTGCACATTAACAATGATTTGGGACAAATGTAATGTAATTATATGTCATATTTAATTGCATTTAATATTAAATAAAAATTAATAATTTTTAAATCATTAAAAATGCATGTCATGTGATCATATAAGCCAGCAGCCATATCGCCCTGTAGCCCAAGACTGGTTGCCACGAAGCAGGGTTGAGACCTCCTGGGAAAACTAGGTTGCTGCTGGAAGAGGTGTTAGTGAGGCCAGAAGGAGGTGCTCACCCTGTGGTCTGTGTGGGTCCTAACACCCCAGTATAGTGATGGGGACACTATACTGTCAAAAAGCACCGTCCTTCGGATGAGACGTTAAACCGAGGTCCTGACTCTCTGTGGTCGTTAAAAAATCCCAGGTTGTCTTTCGAAAAGAGTAGAGGCGTGACCTCGACATCCTGGCCAAATTCGCCCATTGGCCTCTGACCATCATGGCCTCCTAACAATCCCCATATCTACTGATTGGCTTCATCACACTGTCTCCTCTCCACCAATAAGCTGGTGTGTGTAATCTCAGGAGCACTTAAAGTAAATATATTAGGTGAAAGAGGATCAGATTACAATACAGTTTGTGAATTTGTGCATTTTAATGTGTTTGAAAGACAAAGAAAAGACAAAGCCTTCCAAAGACATAGAAATACATGGTTAAATAGTGATAATTCAAATAAAATGTGTTCATAGTTGATGCAATTTTGAAACACTTCTTCACTGATTTTTGTAAATCCAGTGGTCAAATGCTGTGTCGCCATCTGTATAATGACTGATCTTTGTGTGAAACTCCACAAAACTTGAAGACTTTCTGAATGTATATAAGCAGTAGGCTATTTCAGAAAGAAAAATGTAAAAGATGAAAAAAAGAAATAAGGGAGAATCAATAAATTATGAATGATTTATTGCTATTGTGCAGATAACATGTAATCATTTGTGATCATATTTTTGGCAATATTGCCCAGCCCCAATAGTGGTCCTAAATAAAGTATATATCTGGTTTGTGTTTTAGTAGTCCTGCCAGAAAAATGAGTCTCTGTGGGCAGAGAAAGAAGAGGGTTTCTGTTCGTAAACGTAATGCAGCATTTCCTGAACCCAGCTGTGTGTTTATGAAGAGATGCAAATCTTTGCTTCATAACGCTGAACCTGAGTAAGTACCAGTGTGAGCAGTGTGTAGCTGAGTCTGTACTTCATTCATTTGCACTATTTGTTCTCGTCAGCTACAGACATGTTCCATCTCAAAGCAGTGTGTTCAACTGTAGCTTCTATATAAGTGTGGGATCAAATTATATCTTAGAGTTTGGTGTCCTCAAAACATTTGTAAATGCATTTTCTGAATTTCAATGCCTTTTCACAGTCATTTTTTGTCTTATTTCATCTCACTGTTTCTGCAGAGTGACAACAGATGTTGAGATCAGATCAGTGCCCCGACTGACCTGCACTGACTCAGACTGTCAGATCCTCATCAGGCAGAGAGTCAAAGACCAACACAAAACCAGCATGAAGAAGAAGTATGAAAGATTATTTGAGGGAATCAAACTAGAAGAGAATCAAACCCTCCTGAACAGGATCTACACACAGCTCTACATCATAGAGGGAGAGAGTGAAGGAGTGAATGAAGAACATGAGGTTTTACAGATGGAGAAAACACCCAGAACACAACACACTCCAATCTACTGCAATGACATCTTTAAACCCTTAAATGAACCAGGATGTGAGGAGAAAGATGAAATCAAGACTGTTCTTACTAAAGGCATCGCTGGAATTGGAAAAACTGTCTCTGTGCAGAAGTTCATTCTGTACTGGACCGAGGGAAAAGCCAATCAGGATGTAGATTTCATGTTTGTGCTTCCATTTCGAGAGCTGAACTTGATTAAAGATCACCAGTACAGTCTTCACAGACTTCTGCTGGACTTTCATCCTGAACTTCAAGATCTGGACTCAAAGATTTATGAGGACTGTAAAGTTGTGTTCGTCTTTGATGGTCTGGATGAAAGCAGAATTACACTGATGTTTTCAGATGATGAGAAAGTTTGTGATGTGAATGAGTTTTCATCAGTGGGTGTGTTGATGTCAAACCTCATCAGAGGAGAGCTGCTTCCCTCTGCTCTCATCTGGATCACCTGCAGACCAGCAGCAGCCAATCAGATCCCCTCAGAATACATCAGCCGTGTGACAGAAATTCAGGGATTCAATGAGCCTCAGAAGGAGGAATATTTCAGAAAGAGAATCAGTGATGAGCATCAAGCCAGCAGAATCATCCAACACATTAAAATATCAAGAAGCCTCCACATCATGTGTCACATCCCCGTCTTCTGCTGGATCTCAGCCACTGTGCTTCAAAACCTCCTGAAACAAGATGACAGTGCAGAAATACCTCAAACTCTGACTGAAATGTACATCCACTTCCTGCTGACTCAGATTAACATGAAGAGTCAGAAGTATGATGAGAGAGATCCAGAGAAACCCTTGACGTCCAGCAGAGATGTGATTGTGAAACTTGCTGAACTGGCTTTCAAACAGCTGATGAAGGGCAACGTGATGTTCTATGAGGAGGACCTGATTGAGAGTGGCATAGATGTCACTGATGCCTCAGTGTATTCTGGGATTTGCACTGAGATCTTTAAGGAGGAATCTGTGATTCATCAGAGGAAAGTCTACTGCTTCATTCATTTGAGCTTTCAGGAGTTTCTGGCTGCTTTATATCTGTTTTACTCCCATGTAGTCAAGAATAAGGAATCACTGATGTTATTTCTGAAAGGAAGATATGAGTGGTACAGTCTGGAAAACTCTGTGGATGAACTACTAATATCAGCAGTTGATACATCCATACTGAATGAAAATGGACAGCTGGATCTTTTCCTGCGGTTCCTGCTGGGCTTCTCACATGAGGCCAATCAAAGACTCTTACAGGATCTACTGACACACACAGTGAACAGCTCAGAGACAATCAGAGACACCACACAGAACATTAAAGACACAATCAAGGGTCAGAATACTGATGATATGTTTGACATCCATTTGCAAAAACTTCTGGAGCCTGCACCAGAGTCTTTGGATATTGATATAAACTGTGGACAACATGCAAACTCCACACAGAAAGACTTGCTGGGTCAAGGAATCACACACTACATTAAAAATGCAATCAAAGTCGATGAAGGTCTCTCAGCTGGCAGATGCATCAATCTGTTCCTCTGTCTGCTGGAAATGAAGGATCAGACTCTGTACAGAGAGATTCAGGAGTTTGTGAAATCAGAGAAACACTCAAAGAATCAGCTCTCTCCATCTCAATGCTCAACAATCACCTACATGATTCAGATATCAGAGGAAGTGCTGGATGAGTTTGATCTGAAGAGATACAACACATCAGATGAGGGTAGAAGAAGACTGATACCAGCTGTGGTGAACTGCAGAAAAGCTCTGTGAGTATTAATTCATGTGATTGCAAATGAAACTGAATGTGTCTGTTTTGTTGAGGCACAATAAGATTGTAATTCCTCCAAATTATAACAGAGTTGGGTCATTCCGTGTGAAATCAACCAAATTTCTGAAACTTCCCCGGCTCCCCAGTTTTGATTCTGTCAATATTTTTTTTCTGAAGAAACATGTACAGCGATGAAAACCAAAATCTTAAATGCCATTGATGTATATTTACTTAGTAATCCACTAATGACCTGAGATTCAGTGGAAAATGTGTACAGTTCATTCAAATGGGAAATGTGTACAATTCGTTCACTCTGTGTTGCAGACTTGCAGACTGTAATCTCACTGATCAGTGCTGTGAAATTTTGTCTTCATCTCTACAATCATCAAACTCCTCACTGAGAGAGCTGGACCTGAGTAACAATGACCTGCAGGATTCAGGAGTGGAGCTTCTGTCTGATGGACTGAAGAGTTCACACTGTCAACTCAACATACTGAGGTTTGTGATTTGTAATAAAATGGTTGAGACAATAAATGAGCTGTTCAGGGTCTGGAACTTTAATAATTTAGCATACTGCAGTAATTAGTAATTAGAGACAGTGAAATAATAGTGAATATTGTCATGTTGTTGAAAGATGTATAAGGATAATTAAATGAGGATCATTTGTAGATCAATGTCTCTGTTAAATGAATAAATGTAAATGTGATAATTGTACTTTGTTCTGTTTAGATTAATAGACTGTAATCTCACTGATGAATGCTGTGAAAGTTTGTCTTCATATCTACAATCAAACTCACTGAGAGAGCTGGACCTGAGTCACAATGACCTACAGGATTCAGGAGTGAAGCTTCTCTCTGATGGACTGAAGAGTTCACAGTGTCAACTCAGCATACTGAGGTAATAAAAACAGATAGAGATTCACTTGATTATGACAATAATGATGCCCTCAGCTCTGGTCCTGAAATTCTGGGTTTTTGTAATATATCAGCAGACCCCATTGTGTCTGAAGACTTTTTTTTATTGTCTATTTACTGACTAAAATGTCAATGTTTGAGGTGCGGATATGAACAGAAGCTGTTAAAACACTGAACCCAGAGTTATTCCATCTGAACTAAACCTGTAATCAGTGATCTTTGGATAAAAAGTGCTACAATGAGGCAATTGATTTAAAGCAGAGTTACATGAATCTAAACACTCTTGTGTGTGAATCAGTTTAAGATGATCTCCAGTCCCAGATGATGTGATGTTGAGAGAGAGAGTGTGTGTGTGTGTGTGTGTGTGTTTGTTTGTAGATTATCTGGTTGTATGGTGACAGAGGAAGGCTGTTGTTTTCTGGCTTCAGCTCTGAGTTCAAACCCCTCACACCTGAGAGAGCTGGATCTGAGTTACAATCATCCAGGACAATCATTAGTCAAGCTGCTCTCTGATCCAAACTACAGACTGGACAAACTCAAGTATGTTCAACACTAACAATCATCCTGTCATTTGTGTTTGTACATGTGTCTGCTATAATATAAAAACTCACATGTACATAAATCCCTGAATACAGGACATATATGTGTACATTAATAAGGATGTGTCTTGAACTCTGTGAGTGAAGATGATCTTGATTCAGCTCAATAGCTGCTTGTGACCCATAATAGCAGCATTTGAGAAACAGACTCAAGACTTTAGGCCTGGTTGCAACAAAGCTCTTAAGTTTGGAAAATCCTAAGTTATAATGTTAAGGGGACCAGGGATGTGATTTTTTTAGGGATGTCATATATGATGATCAGGTTTTTTGTGCCCCCAATCCCCCAGAGAAAATCTATGTTAGACCTTCGAGCAGGCACTCTTCTAACTAGCCCAAATAAAAAAAAATAAAAAAAATTTATATAGAAATTTGGATAGTCGAATCGTCAATCAAAAACATTTTTAAAACAGTAATATCATGGAAGGGATTTCATTTCACAATTTCAGGGTATCTGCAGAATAAAAAAAAATCAGTTTAAGGCTTTTAATTACCCTTTTTAAAGGGGTCATATGATGCGATTTAAATTTTTCCTTTCTCTTTGGAGTGTTACAAGCTCTTGGTGCATAAAGAAGATCTGTAAAGTTGCAAAGACTAAAGTCTCAAATCCAAAGAGATGTTCTTTATAAAAGTTAAGAGTTAACCACACCTACCTAAAACGGCTTGTTCTAACACGTCCTCTAACAGGAAGATTTGCATAACGCCGCCCAAATGTTCACGCAAAGAAAGAAGGCATAACTTTTATTGTCGCTGTAGTATTGTTGTTGCCGCCGCCATGTCATGAAGGCACTGTGTGATTCGTTGTGAAAGCGAAACTACTTTGTTTGGCCTTCCAAAAATGGACACGACTAGAAATCAGTGGTTAAGTTGTATTTACAACACTGTTCCAGAACACTTCAACCCAAATATTCAGATGTGTCCAGCACATTTTATGGAGGACCGTTTCCTGATCCTGGTAGAGTAGACTACAATGCCGGCTGTTCTGACTCAAAGACTGTAAGTACGTTTTTTTATATTTTATATTTTTTATATTTAATGAAAACCCATTATAAACGAGGCATTCGTTGCATCCAGTAGGGACATAATTATGGATTATAATAACTTATACTGTCTTTTTACGCATTGCGTTGTATCGCGTTGCGTAAACATAAAACCACATCTGCATTTGTGATCGGAGAAATGACAAACAACAAGCCCTACTCTACACTGTCCAAAAAACTTGCTTTAAATATATAAAATATAAAAACTCTTTAAATATAAAAAACGTACTTACAGTCTGTGAGTCAGAACAGCCGGCATTGTAGTCTACTCTCCCAGGATCAGGAAACGGTCCTCCATAAAATGTGCTGGACACATCTGAATATTTGGGTTGAAGTGTTCTGGAACAGTGTTGTAAATACAACTTAACCACTGATTTCTAGTCGTGTCCATTTTTGGAAGGCCAAACAAAGTAGTTTCGCTTTCACAACGAAACACAGCATCACACACGGTGGCCTAGAGAGAGCAGAGGCCGGGGGCTAGAGTGAAGGACGGCCGGAGGGCTTGAGTGAGCAGAGGCGGTGGATTCGACGAAGAAGCATCCAGCGGGCTTGCGGCAACCACATGTGACGACCCCGGGCTGGACTCCGCTTCGTCCACGGTGAAAGCCGATCCGGCGATCCACAGTGCAAAGTTGATGTATTTCCTCAGCAACCAGCACGGATCAGCTCCAGGCATGACAAAGCAGATATCGTCCTCTTTTGGAAGGCCAACCAAAGTAGTTTCGCTTTCACGACAAAACACACAGCGCCTTCACGACCAGGCGGCGGCCGCATCAACAAAAGTTATGCCTTCTTTCTTTGCGTGAACATTTGGGCGGCGTTATGCAAATCTTCCCACATCGTGAAAAGAGAGCAAAGAACATTTACATTATCAAAGAACATTTTCACTGACAGTCTAGAGTTCAAGCACTCTCAAAAACTCCCATTAAAATCACTGAAGCTGTTTACACTGTGAAATGAATATCTTACTTATAGATTTATACATACATCTGCAGTTTGTTGTTTCTAACGAGAGAATTCGCCAGAAAGAAGTACTCGGTCAGCGAGCCAGTGAAGAAAACACCGGCATTTTAGCGATGACTCATCTGAACGCCTCTGATTTGCCATTGCATTCATAAGCTCAACAGCATCGTGTGTGATTGGTTATGATGCGCAGTGCTGTAAAAATGTGTCTGTCTCTGACTCAGTGCCAGCCAGCGAATGCAGATTTGAATTTAGCAGCTGATTATATGATGCGCTGAACAATTTAATCATGCTGGTGTGATTGTATCCAATATAGAAAATATTATTCGGCTATTTTTTGTCATTTGACAGCTGCATTCAAAATCCACTTGGCTCATAAATCTGAGGGGGCACATGCCCCCTCACTTTGAATGGACATGACGCCTCTGGCTGCTATACATGTCATCTGTCCCCATCTAATTTTGTTAAAAAATGATGAAAAAATTATAAACGACCACGCCGAATCCTGGCCAAATCACAGAGATGCCGTTTCACAAGGGACTAATATTATCACAGGACCTCGGTGTTCGGTGAAATATGGTAGGCCATTTGCGGGGGAATTTTTACTTTACAAATTACAGATATGGCTGATTCGAACAGAATTAAGATCTCAGACGACCTCCGCAATTATTACAAATTACTAGAGGTCACCAGGTAATACTAATCCTTTGCGAATAGGGCTTTTGTGAGCTTTTATCAGCATGTTACGTGACACATGGATGCGTTTATTTGAGTTTATTAAACCAGCAACAAAGTGCCTCAGTTTACGGGTGTTCATTTAACTTTTAGCTTTATAAATGGCAACACCCAACATTATGGGCTAGTTGCATATCTCCGCAATCTTGGATTACCTGTCTAACGAGTGTGTGCATAGATACTTCCGGTTTTGCTAAACGCCAGTGCAGAGAACCAGAGAAATCCATACCTTCTATATATGTTTACAGGATTTATAATATCACTTCAAATGCAAATAATCTACACTGCTATAATTACTATACTATAAATGTTAGTGGCATTTGAAACTTATGTATGTTTGGGTCTGGTGAATGAATGAAATACACTAACGTTAATCCCTATACTGTTCACAAAATGAAAATTGAACTCATGGTCTGTGCACCCAGCTACACAATGGCTGCATCCGAAAACTCTAAAATGCTGCCTTCTGAGGCAGCATTGCAAGGCAGGAAGGCATCAAGGCAAGTCCGAATACAAATTCTGCTTCACTTCCTGTCTCACCTTCTTCTGATCAAATTTTGAAGGCAGCATAGATGTATCCTTCGCTGCCTTTGATATCCCACAATCCTGTGCGTTCCATTGCGTGACGGTTGAGCTAAAAAATAAAGATGGTGTCTGAAATTTGTGTTTGGTGGTCAGTTTGTGTGTAAGTGTATATTTCCGACTAACTTTTTGCACTTTTGATGTTATTTCTAGCATGAAATCAGTATTATAGTAATTAAATATTTGTTTAGTTATCATCAAAACTCGTTCTATTTTATTGTGGATCATTAAACCGTTACGCTGCCTCAGAAGCCTGTCCGAAATCAGTTTCATGAGGTGCCTTCGTGCTAAAACGCTGCCTGCAAAGTCAGCTGCCTCATACGTCAGCGAGGCAGCAAGTCAGCTACATAAGTTTTCGGACGCAGCCAAAGTCTTTTCCCTTACCAATTATGTAAATGTACAAATTACTTATTTCTCAAAAATGTTTGTATTACATATATTTTTTAATGAAATATTTACCTGGTGAGACATGCTGCGATTGATCTTCAAAAATACCCATTTCTCAATTGTGCACATACATCAGTTTGTTCCATCATAATTTTCACAACATATTTTAATATTTTACACAGTTAACAACAAATTGTTTTATGATCCACCAAGTTGTGCAGAGCAGTTTTTATTTATTGTATATATATATATTAATATTATATTATATATATCTTTTTCTTTTATAATTTTCTTTCATTTTTTTAGCTTTTTCATTATGTAAAATGAGTGTGACTTATTTTTATAGTGTGGATCATAAAGGCAAGATCAGGATTACAACAGGACCACAGAAATGTAAGACACACACACACAGCTTAATTGTTTTGTTATGATATAAATGTTATAATCTCTCTTCTTGTGTTCAGATGCATGTGATCTCACACTGGATTCAAACACAGCACACACTCGTCTTTCTCTGTCTGAGAGGAACAGAAAGGTGACACATTTGAGAGGGAAGCAGCCGTATCCTGATCGTCCAGAGAGATTTGATGAATACCGTCAGGTTCTGTGTGAAGAGAGTCTGTCTGGACGCTGTTACTGGGAGGCTGAATGGAGCGGATATAGGGCTGATATATCTGTGACGTATAAAGGAATCAGCAGGAAAGGAAAAAGTAATGACTGTTTGTTTGGATGCAATGAAAAGTCCTGGAGTTTAACCTGGTTTAATGACAGATACTCTGTCAGTTACAATAATAAGAGCACATTCACATATGCCCCTTCACGTCGCTCTAACAGAGTAGGAGTGTATCTGGACTGGTCGGCCGGCACTCTGTCCTTCTACAGCGTCTCTGACACACACACACTCACACACTTACACACATTCAACACCACATTCACTGAACCCCTCTATGCTGGATTTAGATTTTATTATTCTGGTAGTTCAGTGTCTCTGTGTGAAAAACATCTTCCTGCGAGAAACAACTGAGAATTGTTGGCCTTCTGGAAAGTATGTTTATTTACTGTACATGTACTCAGTACTTGGTTGGGCCTCCTTTTGCATGAATTACTGCATCAGTGCGGCGTGGCATGGAGACAATCAGCCTGTGGGACTGCTCAGGTGTAATGGAAGCCCAGGTTGCTTTGACAGTGGACTTCAGCTCATCTGCATTGTTGGGTCTGGTGTCTCTCATCTTCCTCTTGACAATACCCCATAGATTCTCTACGGGGTTCAGGTCAGGCGAGTTTGCAGACCAATCAAGCACAGTAACACCATGGTCATTGAACCAGCTTTTGATGCTTTTGGCAGTGTGGGCAGATGCCAAGTCCTGCTGGAAAATGAAATCAGCATCTCCATAAAGCTTGTCAGCAGAAGGAAGCATGAAGTGCTCTAAAATTTCCTGGTAGATGGCTGTGTTGACTGTGGACTTCAGAAAACACACTTCATCACAAATGTTAAAGGCTGTGGAGCTCATCTTATGCGCCATGTGGAAGGTTGATATCTTTTCCTGATCACTCATTCTCAGCTGTCTGTTTTACAATCCGTTTGACTGTGATTGTTCAATATAGTTGAAGATGTGGACAAACTCATGTCAGATTCAGAACATTATTTATAGGCTGATATTTATCCTCAGATTATGTATTTTAACCCGTTGCTTCCAAATCTTTACCGTCATTTAACAGAAAGTTATCATTAACAATTTAGTTAACTATCAGAATATCTTAATATATAAATATTGTAATTTTCAATAATTGTATATTAATAATTCAACAATTATTGTAATCAATAATCAATAAAAGTCTATTTTCATGTCTGTTTATCACTCAATGTCACTGTTATCACTCAACAACACTGTTAGATAAAAAGTCATGTGTCAAATATTTAATAAGCATTTAAAATTCAGTTTTACTGTTAAAATAAACACTAATGCAAGGTGAAGTTGTGGGGCATTTGTTCTCTTTTCTCAAGAATCAGTGATGGGATGGTTTTGCTATTTCAAGGTCAAATGAGTGTGTGACTTTCACTGAATTTTCTGTCACCACTTATTAAAATGTGCAAATTATTGAACACTATGCTACAAAATTCAGTATTCACAATTTAAAATATATTCATTATGTGACAGCTGAAGTATTGATAATATTAGACAATATCTGTGGTAATCTATTCAGATTATAAATAAATGAACACAGAACTTTTCTAATGAAAAGTTGACATTTTGAAGAGGTTTATTTGATAAAGACCTGATCTACTGTATATAGGCTCTATGTTTTTTTAATTAACAGTGAACAGTTAAACATTTACGCTACCAACAGTTTGGAATAATTAAGATTTGTAATGTTTTTGAAGGAAAACTCTTATGCTTACCAACACTGGCCTATACTTACTTAAGTAAAACGGTAATATTGTAAAATATTATTACAATTTAAAATAACTTTTTATATATTCCTGTGATGGCAAGGCTAAATTTCAGCAGCCGTTATTTCAGTCTTCATGATTCTTCAGAAATCGTTCTAATATGATGATTTGGTGCTTATGAAACATTTATGATCATCAATGCTGAAAACAGTTTTTGCTGCTTAACATTTTTGTGGTAACGATGATATACTATCATTCAAAAGTTTGGGATAAGTAAGATTTATTATTATTATTATTATTAAATGTATACTTTTATTCAGCAAGGATGCATCAAATTGTTTAAGAGTGACAATAAACACATTTATAGGTTACAAAAGATTTCTGCTACAAATAAATGCTGAGTGTTTATCATTATTTCAACTTTGATATGAATTATTATTAATAATTGAGCACCAATAATAACTAATGATAATCCAGCACCAATCAGAATATTAGAATGATTTCTGAAGGAGGATGTGAGACTGAAGACTGGAGTAATGATGCTGAAATTCAGCTTTGCCTCCATTATATAAAACAAACAATTCACAAGGTTTCTGCTTTATTGCATTTTTCGTTACATCGTTGCGTCAGTGGGTGGTGACAATTGACCACTTTGTCATTAAGTGAATCATCGAATCATTTATTCAACCAAATCATTCAACCACATTGATTCATTGAGCAATCACACACCACAACTCTCTGGTTCTAGGAGACTTTCAGACTTGACAGGAACATACAGCTTGTGAGGGACATTATACAATTTTAAGAAACTATTTTAGGATTTCATCCTCACCTGTCACTTCATTCATATCACTAGACTGCAGAGCTGGTTGACTCTCTTCTCTCACTGGCCATGTGACTCTGTCCAAGGTGAAAGTGAAACAGTTTCAACAGACGGGAAGGAAGCTGTTTGTGAATAATGTGAATCATTTAAGACTCTAAAAACAGAAATCATACACTGAATGAAACGTTTGTTCGATGTTCTTCATTGTCGAGACAAAGGTAGGTTTGGACAAACATTTCTGGATTAGTTTCCATGAATAAATCAATCAATGTGAATCTGCATGTGTAAATACTTTTATTTCTGTCGTACTGTAATTTAAGAGTATTTTCAGATGGTTAAATAGTCTCTACTGAGAGTTTTTCTTATTCATATTGATTCTTCGAGTTTTTTCTGAACGTATTGAACTGGAAATTGAGCTTTTGACTGGTGTTTCATCCACAGTTTTTTATATGCTGTAATATTGAGTGGCAGAGATTTCATTACTTCTCTTGTATATCTAAAGAAGTAAATTTGATTGCATATTTGTGTCTTTTTCTACAGCACTGCCTGTAAAATGAGTCTGTATGAGAAGAGAGAGGATGAGGAGGATGATGTTCACACACATAAAGCAGCATCTCCAGAACCCAGCTGTGTGTCTGTGAAGAGTGACAAGTCCATGGGAACCCCTCCTCTTCTCAGTGATGAAGCAGAGTGAGTATAAACATTTAACTGATGTGGTGAAACATAATTAGGCATTTTCAAAATATTATAAGCCGGAAACATCTTGGTAGTGATAAAAATGACAGATAAAATTCTGTCTGGATTTATATATATATATATATATAGTCATGTGAAAAAGTTAGGACACCATATTAAATGCCATGGTTTTCTGTATCAGGGCATAATAAAAAATTATTAAAATAAAAAAAAAAACATATCACACTGTGTCATTATTTATTTAACAAAAATAAAGCCAAGATGGGAAAGCCTTGTGTGATGAGGTTAGGACACTCTATGATTCAATTGCCTGTCGATCAGCTTTTAGCAGCAATAACTTGAAGTAATAATTTTCTGTATGACTTTATCAGTCTCTCACATCGTTCTGGAGGAATTTTGGCCCACTCTTCTTTACAATGTTTCTCCAGTTTATTGAGGTTTGTGGGCACTTGTTTATGCACAGCTCTCACCACTGCATTTCAGTCAGGATGAGGTCTAGACTTTCACTGGGCTGTTGCAACTCCTTGATTCTTTTCTTTTCAGCCGTTCTGTTGTAGATTTGCTGGTGTGCTTGCGATCATTGTCCAAGATTTAGCTGTCGATTGGATGGCCTCACATTTGACTCCAGAATACTTTGTTATACAGAGGAGTTCATGGTTGCCTCAATGACTGTGAGGTGCCTTGCAAACATGCTATACTTGTCCCATATTTTTCTAATTGTACTGTCATGAACTTTATCATTTAACATGTTAACTGAGGCCTGTAGAGTATTTATATAAAAGTAATTTGTGATTTATCCAACATTAATTTATCTGGGCTGACATATCTAATCTCTTCTGACATTACATATTAATGTACAAGTGGTAAATATTATAGTACTATACTATAGTACTATATTACTTGTATATCATTGCTCTTTTGTTGATTTTTGATTGCTTCCATTGTCCTCATTTGTAAGTCGCTTTGGATAAAAGTGTCTGCTAAATGTCTAAATGTAAATGTAAATATTAGGGATGTACTGATGCCACTTTCTCCAGAATGAGTCCGATACCGATAATTTTCTTTTTTTGTACTTGCCGATAGCGATACCCAGAGCCGTCGGACGGGTTATGCCAAGTGTGCAACCACACAGAGCCTCGCACTTCTGCAGGGCCTCATGGCAAAATGAAGTGACAGCTGACTTGATGATGTAAAGCCAACAGGTTTAAAGGTCATGCCTTGGTCCTTTGAAAGACTATACTAGCTCAAAGTTAGCGTGTGTGAGCGTCAGTGAGCATGTCAAGTTCTTAGAGAGCTTTATAAGTGCATTTTTAATTCAGATTTTGAAATGGGTGAAACCATAGATATTACCTTTTAAGTTTAAGAAAATAAGTTAGAAATTTTAATTTGAAATGGATGTGCACCGTTCAGTTGAATTAAAAGGTTTACCCTCAGTTTATCTGTCTATTTGTTGTGCGTGCGTTCGTTATTATAGCCATACCGCCTCCCCGCAGAGGGCTTCACACCTCACACCTCAACTGCATGATGGCATTTAGCGTATGGAATAAGGGCCGCCTACAGCAGTGCTAAATGAGACATGCTGTGGGTGATTTTGCACATTTTAAGCAGTGGGAGAATTATCAGTTAAAAGTGTTCGAAACACACAAATAACTATTTTATTGTAGATTTATCCTGTGGTGAATTTGTTGGGCAACTGTTAATATGTGTCTGGCGTTGAATGTGTTGTTTTACGTTGAGTTATTTTGACATTCTAAGGTAAACATCTTTAAATGTCTGCCGGTTTCTGCCTCCTTCTTCCCGTAACTACGAACTTTGTCACAATTACATATTCAGTGATTATAGCGTGATAGAATATTGCTCAGATACTGAGGTGTTGGAGCAGTCAGGCTTTATAGATTGCATTAGTGCCCTCCTACTTTTTCAGCGGCGTTGGTTCTGGAAGTACTTTTTTCCATTAATTTCTCCCATACAAGGTAAATTACAACATTATTTGAAACAAAATTTTATTTGAAGCATAAAAACATTTTGAAAACCTGATGACCTTTTCACAGAAGTGGGTGGAGCTAAAGAGCTCTTTTGGTGCAATTACATTTTTCACCTTGAATTCCACTGTTAAATATTATTATCTTTAAAATAAGTTGAATTAATGCAGGCTGGTGGCTTCAACAAAAGAATATACTATTGATTAAGTACTGTTTTTTTGAAATTTTATGTTTGTGAGTTGTCTTTCACCAAACAGAGTGTGACATTAGTGAAATTAACATTAATTTAGAAACAGAAATTTAAAAAAGAAGTGATATTTTTATGTTTCTCTTTTTTGATTATTCCTCCTCTACTCTTTCGTGGTTTTCTACAGCATGGCCTGTAAAATAAGTCTCTGTGAGATGAAAGAGGAGGATGTTCACACACATAAAGCAGCATCTCCAGAACCCAGCTGTGTGTCTGTGAAGAGTGAGAGATCCATGGGAATCCCTCCTCTTCTCAGTGATGGAGCAGTGACCTCTGACCTTGAGTGAGTATAAAAACTGATTAACAAAGATGTTGACCTAGGAACACGTTCTACTTAGGTAAACCATGTCCCTCAGATGTCTGCAGTGCATCATAAATGGTATAGGTGTTGATTAAACTAATACGAACTGTAATGATTAATTTAGTTTTTGAAGTCAATCCTACATTTTCTAAAGAGATGTAGTGGTCAGTGTAAGCTGTAGTTTGTCAGCCGTAATTCTGCAACTTACAAATCTGAACCCGTGGATGAAGCTGAAATAGGTTCTAGTGACTCTAGGATGATGAAATAATGTGAAAAAAAATTAATAATGTTATAATAATGAAATAATGTTCCGCAATAATGTATCAGTGTAAAGTGCATCATTCAACTACAGCATGTAGTAAGTTTGCACAGTATACCAGTACTATGGTACTATCATCATGCCCAAGCCTCAAAACATGGGCACCTCTCATATTAGGTTTGAAGGACTTTGGAGAGGTTTGGAATAATTTCAAAAGCTTACATTTGTTATTGAAGACATTATTTAAATACATATCTAAATTATGCCTCGAAATTCAAGTTTTGGATTTAAAAAGCCTCCCTTTAATTTTTGATTAAACTTCTTTGCAATTCATTCAGAACAGTTTTTTTTTAATTATATATCAATTTTTAACATTCTAAAATAATGTGCTGTCTTCACTGTATCATGCACACACACACAAACAGCCACATTCCAGAGCACAGAAACTTGTTGTCAGTGCTTCAGTTTTTATGTTCTTATGCATTTCACAGTTTTCCCTGTTCATCTCAATGTTTCTACAGAGTGAGAAGAGACAATGTGAGCAGACCAGTGACACCCCGTCTGTCTCGCTTTATCTACTATCAGAATCTCTTCAGGAAGAACAACAAAAAAACAGCCCTGCAGACAAACACACAGGAGACACAAATGCAGCACATTTCTCTCCAACCAGTGCGTGATGGACTACAGAGAGTCAAAAACCAGCACAAAACCAGCATGAAGAAGAGGTATGAGAGGTTATTTGAGGGAAGCAAACTAGAAGAGATTCAAACCCTCCTGAACAGGATCTACACAGAGCTCTACATCATAGAGGGAGAGAGTGAAGGAGTGAATGAAGAACATGAGGTTTTACAGATGGAGAAAACACCCAGAACACAACACACTGCAATCTACTGCAATGACATCTTTAAACCCTTACATCAACCAGGATGTGAGGAGAAAGATGAAATCAAGACTGTTCTTACTAAAGGCATCGCTGGAATTGGAAAAACTGTCTCTGTGCAGAAGTTCATTCTGGACTGGACCGAGGGAAAAGCCAATCAGGATGTAGATTTCATGTTTGTGCTTCCATTTCGAGAGCTGAACTTGATTAAAGATCACCAGTACAGTCTTCACAGACTTCTGCTGGCCTTTCACCCTAAACTTCAAGATCTGGACTCAACGATTTATGAAGAGTGTAAAGTTGTGTTCATCTTTGATGGTCTGGATGAAAGCAGAATTACACTGATGTTTTCAGATGATGAGAAAGTTTGTGATGTGAACGAGTCTTCATCAGTGGGTGTGTTGATGTCAAACCTCATCAGAGGAGAGCTGCTTCCCTCTGCTCTCATCTGGATCACCTCCAGACCAACAGCAGCCAATCAGATCCCCTCAAAATACATCAACAGTGTGACATACATTCAGGGATTCAATGAGCCTCAGAAAGAGGAATATTTCAGGAAGAGAATCAGTGATGAGCATCAAGCCAGCAGAATCATCTCACACATTAAAAGATCAAGAAGCCTCCACATCATGTGTCACATCCCCGTCTTCTGCTGGATCTCAGCCACTGTGCTTCAAAACCTCCTGAAACAAGATGACAGTGCAGAAATACCTCAAACTCTGACTGAAATGTACATCCACTTCCTGCTGACTCAGATCAACATGAAGAGTCAGAAGTATGATGAGAAAAAAACAAGGAAACTCTTGAAGTACAACATAGACGTGATTGTGAAACTTGCTGAACTGGCTTTCAAACAGCTGATGAAGGGCAATGTGATGTTCTACGAGGAGGACCTGATTGAGAGCAGCATAGACGTCACTGACGCCTCAGTGTATTCTGGGATTTGCACTGAGATCTTTAAGGAGGAATCTGTGATTCATCAGAGGAAAGTCTACTGCTTCATTCATCTGAGCTTTCAGGAGTTTCTTGCTGCTTTGTTTGTGTTTTACTTTCATACCACCAAGAACAAAGAATCACTGAAGTCATTTCTGAATAACATATGCCAGCAGTACAGTCTCTCTCTGTATGATCTACTACTCTCAGCAGCTGTTAAAGCCTTACAGAGTGAAAATGGACACCTGGATCTTTTCCTGAGGTTCCTGCTGGGCATCTCACTGGAGTCCAATCAGAGACTCATAAAGGATATACTGAGACACACAGTGAACAGCTCAGAGATCATCAAGAGAATCACACAAGACATTAAATATGCAATCAAGGCTGATGAAGGTCTCTCAGCTGGCAGATGCATCAATCTGTTCCTCTGTCTGCTGGAAATGAAGGACCAGACTCTGTACAGAGAGATTCAGGAGTTTGTGAAATTAGAGAAACACTCAAAGAATCAGCTCTCTCTGTCTCACTGCTCAACAATCGCCTACATGCTTCAGATATCAGAGGAGGTGCTGGATGAGTTTGATCTGAAGAGATACAACACATCAGATGAGGGTAGAAAGAGACTGATACCAGCTGTGCTGAACTGCAGAAAAGCTCTGTGAGTATTAATTCATGTGATTAAAGATGAAACTGAATGTATCTCTTGTTGAGACACAGCAACATTCTAATTCCTCCATCAAATCACGACTCAGTTCAGCCATTTCAACTAATATGTAATCAAGGTTTTTTTGTACAAAAGAAAGTCATTTAGTTTTTTGTTTTGACTCTTTTTTAACCTCTTTCTGGCCCTTAAAATTAATGTTTATCTTTTGTAATTTCACATTGTGTTGTTAGTTGTATACAGCCTGGAGTAACAGTAATAGCCAAAATTATTTTGGAGTTTATCTGTCCTACTTCCTCCTTATTACTTGACTGTGACTCTGAAGCCATGTGTTTTTGAACACTGAATATGTGTTGCTAAGATAAACACATTTCATCCTGTGTTGTAGACTTGCTGGCTGTAATCTCACTGATCAGTGCTGTGAAAGTTTGTCTTCATCTCTACAATCATCAAACTCACTGAGAGAGCTGGACCTGAGTAACAATGACCTGCAGGATTCAGGAGTGAAGCTTCTCTCTGATGGACTGAAGAGTTCACACTGTCAACTCAACATACTAAAGTAAGAAAACTAAAGGTTCTCTTGGTTGTGAAATTAAAGATGTCCTCTGCTCTGGTCCTGATCTCTTGGGAGTTTGTAATATATAAGCAGAACCCAATGTGTCTGACTACTTTGGCTTTGTAATTAATCCAGCTTGTTGTTTTAAAAATATTTTTGGTTTCTTGAAACAACAACAAAACAATTAACAACCAAATAATTGCAAATATCCAAGTATAGATGAGTAGACATTTCTGCTACATGATATGTGTTTACATGCATTTCCTGTTATATATCAGATTTTGTCATGGGTGAAATTGTACATTCATTATTTACATTTTATCAGTACATGTAGGCCTATGTGTGGGAATTGAACCTCTGACTTAAGCATTGTAATTGCCAATAGAGCTACATGAACACATATGTTATGCTGATATAGCAACAAAGTTACTATCTGCATTTACTATCTAAAATACTATCTGCAGCCATGATGTCGAAACAACTCTGTTTGGCTATATTTTAGTGCTGGGCGGTATACCGGTTCATACCGAATACCGGTGTTTATTTTTGTTATGATATTAATTTTTTAAAAACCGCAATACCGGTGTATGTCGCTTAAACAACATTCGGAACGCGACACTGTTTGAAAGGGGTCCCTTTTCACTGTTGCACTGTGTTGAGGGAACAGCTGTATGTGTTACTAAGCGTGAAAGTTCCGAAACTGAAGCTGTAGAACTAATAGAACGTGATGACGCAGAAGAACTCATCCACAATATCCACATTGACCTCCACAAATATCCACCGCCCGCTGCCATCAGCTCCCGCGTCTCACACACACGAGCGCGACTTTAGCACTAGATTTAGCAACTTTCAGACCCTTTTAGTGGCTTTTTTCCATAGAATATTCATACTGACAAACCTAGCGACTTTTTTGGATAAACCTTAGCTATGGTTCAGTTGGAAGATTTCTCCAGTGCTGTCCCGCGAACGCGAGGTCTGACTTTCCCGGAGAAGTGTCACCTCTCTCGGCGTCTGTTCTGTGCAGTGAGCGGCAGAGAAGCAGCGCATTCAGTTAGCCGCACCGCAGCCGACTCGTCAATAAATGAGTACAAAACAGCGTTTCCTAGCACCTGTCGCGTACTGATTGTTTGGAATTATAAATATGAGCGTAGTTCGTCTGTTAATATCACATGCACTTTTTTGTTTTTTGTTCTTTTAGTTTGTTGTTTTTTTAGTTTGTTACTCAGACGCAGGCAGTGCGCTGCATGAGACAAAAAAGTAATATAGCCAAAACAACCACATAGCTGCTCTTTAGTGTAGATGCATGTTGATTTTATCAGACAATGCCGCGATTATAAATGAGAGTGACTCCTGGTTAACATGTATTAAAAGGGGTCGTGTTTAGTCACTATTTAGTGTGGTATTTTTTGACAATATTCACTCATTATGACAGTAAAATAGGGCATTCTAAGTCAATATACTGCAGTATTTCCTCTCAATCAGTAGAAAATATGGTTAACACCCGGTCATGCATGAAAAAAAAAATACCATCATGTACCGTGAAACCGGGATAATTTTGAAAAATACCTTGATATAAATTTTTGGTCATACTGCCCAGCACTACTATATTTCCAGTCAATATTTAGAGTTCACCATCTGATGAACGACAGAATATTAGTCACATAAAATATTTATCCCACCATCTCTTTATTATTGATCTGCATTTCATCCTGTGTTTTAGACTTGCTGACTGTAATCTCACTGATCAGTGCTGTGAAAGTTTGTCTTCATCTCTACAATCATCAAACTCCTCATTGAGAGAGCTGGACCTGAGTAACAATGACCTGCAGGATTCAGGAGTGAAGCTTCTCTCTGATGGACTGAAGAGTTCAAACTGTCAACTCAACACACTGAAGTAAGAAAAACAGATAAAGATCTACTTGATTATGAAATTAAAGATGCCTTCTGCTCTGGTACTGATCTCTTGGGTGTTTGAATCAGCAGAATCCAGTGTGTCTGAAACCCATTGTTTTTGAAAATTATTTATTCACTGATTAACTTTTTATGTTTGTGTGAAGTGGAGATGAACAGAAATTGTTATTGAGATCAATTCTGCTCCATCAACACTGTGCCATTGAGTAAAACGCTGCACTGAACCTGTAATCAGTGATCTGTGGATAAAATGCTACACTGAATCAATCATCAGAGTTACAGGAATCTGATCACAGCTGTGTATGAATCAGTTTAAGATGATCTCCAGTCCCAGAATATGTGATGTGGAGAGTGTGTGTGTGTGTGTGCATGTTTATGTGGTTTATGAGGACACAAATTTGTATAATAACATGGGTATGACATAGGTATTACAATGAGAAGGTGATTTATGAGGACATTTTCAGTGTCCCCGTAATTCAAAAGGCTTATAAATAATATAGAATGAGTTTTTTTGAAAATCTATAAATGCAGAAAGTTTCCTGTGAGGGGTAGGTTTAGGGGTAGGGTTGGTGTAGGCCTATAGAAAATACGGTTTGTACAGTATAAAATCCATTACGCCTATGGAGAGTCCCCATAAACCATAAAAACAAACCTGTGTGTGTGTGTGTGTTTGTAGATTATCTGGATGTATGGTGACAGAGGAAGGCTGCTGTTTTCTGGCTTCAGCTCTGAGTTCAAACCCCTCACACATGAGAGAGCTGGATCTGAGTTACAATCACCCAGGACAATCATTAGTCAAGCTGCTCTCTGTTACAAACTACAGACTGGACAATCTCAAGTATGTTCAACACTAACAATCATCCTTTCACTTGTGTTTGTACATGTGTGCACTATAAACTCACATGTACAGCTGCAATCAAAATTATTTAACCCCACTGACCTAAAATACATTTTGCTGCTGAGAACTAACTAACAAATGCATCAGTAAACCTAATTTACAAACCCAATTCCAAAAAAGTTGGGACACTGTACAAATTGTGAGTAAAAAAGGAATGGAATAATTTACAAATCTCATAAACTTATATTTGATTCACAATAGAATATAGATAACATA